AGGAATGCAACATTCTAAAGTTCACTAAGATTAAAGAAAGAAGTGATAATTCTAACAACTGATAAGTAACCACTGCCAACTAACTCTGTGTGTGTTCTGATCCACCTGGAGTCTCCCAGACTCCCCTGAGGACTCTGTGCTAACTCATCCCGGGACCACAACGACCACAACAAGCTAAGCTAGATGATGTTTTCTCCCAAGCCAAACACAGCTATCAGGCAATACAACTAAAGCACTGTTACCCAAGTCAGATGACCTCAGAGTCCGCTTCCTAACTACAGTCACGGGAACTCCGCGCCAGGGAGGGACGCCGGGGAGCCTGCGCACGCGCACTGTCTCTTCTGATCCTCATGACAAGGATAAAGTGAGCTCTCCCATTCTCAGTGTCTACGCTGCTTTGCACAACTCTGTGTGTCTGTATTCCAGAAAGTAACAAGACACCCTGAATTCAGACGTCCTGACTCCAGAGTCCAGCTACTTGGTCATAGACTCTAATTATTACCACTGTGAAATACGAAATCTAAACTGACTGTACTGACTCAGTACCCATCAGAAATCACACAAGTGAGGGAAGCCAAAGGAAAGTAGAATGTCTGCATTCCTCTATGTACATGTGTATTACTATAGGAGCCAAGGCCACAGCTACTCTAAAGGCCACAGGTCCTACTTCTTTCAAATGATGCCGCTTTCCATGAGCCTATGGGCGAGATCATTTCCATTCACACCACCACACTCAGCTACACTGTCGTGAACAGCTTCATAGTCACATGTAGACTCAGAAGAGATGCCAACACATTTTCAGATGCTCTCACTCACAGCTCCACCCCTCTGCATTCAAGAATAAAAACCCACCGGAAGAATCTGAGTGATAGTCCATTATTCAAATATAAGGAACTCAAGAGGCAGAGGCAGGTGGGTCTCCACGGGTTTGAGGCCATTCTGGTCTACACAGTAAGTTCCAGGCCTGACTACATAATGACATACTGTCTTATATACAAACACACACACACACACATTAAAGTAATGATACATAAGAAAAATAAAATTTTATATATTAATATAAATTAATTATAAATTAACAACATAATTAATAATGAAAATTAATCTTTACTAGCACTGCCACAACAAAAATACTAATAAAAAGGTTTAGCCCTGGAAACCTGATCTTTAAATGTTCTCTGTTTCAAAGCATGCAGCACAACCCATCCAGTTATAAGACCTTTGTCTCTAACTACCTGGGTGGTCACGTCTTCTCCCTCGCCTCTCATATCCGTCCACTTCTGCCTTTACCGCCACCTCCTCCAGACAGTCTCACCCCACATGTTGGGTTCTACCACTCTCCTGGCTTCACTCTTCCCCTCTATATTTCTTCCTCGGAAAAAAAGAGCATCAAGTCCTTTTGTAATAGCATTTGACACAGCTGACTTCAAATTTGACTACCTGCCCTCTCTAGTACACAGAAAAGTCTACTGTAATGGACTATTTTACTCACTGTGCGGGCTGGTTTTATGACAACTTGATACAAGCTAGAGCTATCTGAAAGGAGGGAATCTCAATTGAGAAAAAGCCCTCCATAAAATCCAGCTGTAGGTCATTTCTTAATTAGAGATCAAGGAAGGAGGGCCTAGCCCTTTGCGGGTTGTGCCATCCCTGGGCTGTCCTCCTGGGTTTTAAAAGACAGCAGGCTGAGCAAGTCATGATGAGCAAGCCACCTGCATCCCTCTGCATCTGCATCAGTTCCTGCCTTTAGGTTCCTGCCCTGTTTGAGTCCCTGTCCTGACTTCCTTTAATGATGAACTACAATGTAGATGTGTAAGCCACGCAAACCCTTTTCTCCAATATTGCTTTCGGTCATGGTGTTTCATCATAGCAACAGAAACCCTGACAAGGACACTCGCTACTTTATCTGTGGGACCTACAGGAATCCCTAGTTAACAAATAAAAGTTACGTGTGAGGTAAAGATTACAAATGGATTCATAAACAGTCCTAAAAATAAAAATCAGTTATAAGACTCAATTGGCAACATGAGGAGTACCTATTGACATAAATTCTGGTAACAGAATTTTGCAACTTACTCTGAAACTGAAGTACATCATAGAGTTGACAATTTTGGCCTGTTTAACTGGCAGTAACTCATAAGATAGTAGTGAATTTTGAAAGTTATTTAATCCTATGATTTGATTTAAAAAAAAAAAAGACAGGTGTATCTACAGGTCATCTACCTGCTCTGCTTCCTTCAAACCTAACAGGTCTCTAAGCTATGAGCCCACGCCACAGATCAATAGCAAAAACCTGCCAAGGGTTCCTTCACTAACGGCGCTCAAACCCCTTCCATTCTTAAACTCAGGATCTATGAAACTCAGTTGCTTCAGTCCGAAGTGACCATCGGTTCAGCCAAAAGCTTTTCTTCCAATGCAGGCATTGTATACCTGCTAAGTGCACTACATTGCCCACACAGAACCGTCCACGAGTGTCTTCCTAATCTCAAGCCTCCACAGTTCAGCTTCAGGAACCTGTGGTTCACTTTGTGCTTCCCCCTGGAATTGCTTTCCTCACACCATAGAAGGTACAGAGGAAATCACATCAGGCAGTGATAGGTGATAGGCAGACGATAAATACATATAAAATAGGTACATGGAAGTACAGATAGATGATAAATACAGATAAATAGGTATAAAATAGATAAATATGGACAGATATAAAATGGCTGCTTGCACATATTTACTGAGTTAACGCTCTATGCAGTCCAAGATAAAGAACAAATCTTTGCCCCTTTAGTGCATCAGGAAGCATCAAAAAGAACTAGACTTAAACTCCCCGAGTATTAGTGTCCTCGTTTGCAAAAATATCAATAACTGCTCACTGAGTTCAAATAATGTGGAGACGATGTTTTGAAATTATATAGTACAGAGATGAGTCCTGAAAGCAGGGCATTCTGATCAACAAATGCCATGATTTCTTTAAACAGGAAGAATCCAATAAATGCCTAGGAAATGACTAAAATCTCAGGAAAAGGTCATCTTGAAACTCAAAACTCTCAGAAAAATATATATATATACAATAGTTATGTAACTTCTTACCTTTTTTCCAATAAAGAATTCCATGAATAATTAATTCTGAAAATAAAAATGTTGGGTTTTGTTTGTCTGAAGAGGTCATATGTTTGTTGGGTGGTTTAGGATTTTTTTGTTTGTTATGTTTTTTGGGACAGACCCACTGTATGGCCAAAGCTGCCCTAGAACAAACTTAGGCATCCTAGCCTGGCCTCAAACTCACAGAACTCCTCCTGCATCAGCCTCCTGAGCACTGGAATTATAGGCATGCACCAATTCTAAAATAGTATACATTTATAGTCTTAACCATAGCCGAAAACATTTCAGATTAATTAGGAATATTCCCAACCTGGAAGGGTATGTTTCAATTCTGCTGATAGTTACATATTGTATCCCTTAAAGAATGACACAGGACATACACCTCTAAACCCAGCACTCTGACCCTGAAATAGGAAGACAGATTGAGGGGCCAGCCCAGGCAGCATGGTGAGACTATTTTTCAAAAAGAAAGAAAACTATCTATCAGAAACACTGTAACACAGTAATTATAAGAGGAGCCGCAAAAGTCACTTAGATTGCAGGGTTCCCAGAAAACAAGAGACAAAATATCTGGGTAACATTAGCACATAGCAATACAAAAATGTTGACCCAAGCTATCAGACTACACAGAACAAGCAAAGCTTCCAAACAGTTTTCAGTACATCTTCATCCAAGCTAGAGAGTTGGCTCAGTGGCTAAGAGCACTGGCTATTCTTGTAGAGGACCTCAGTTGGATTCCCAGCATCCACATGGGGGCTCATAACCATCTGTAACTCCAGTCCCAAGGGTTCTGACGCCCTCTTCTGACTTCAAGGGGCACCAGGCATACACATGGTGAACAGACACATGTAGAAAAACACACAAAGAAATAAAAAAATATTCGTTTTAAATATGTATGCATCCCATTTTATAGAAACAGCATCAATTAAGTGGCCTCTAGCCTCTTTTTACTAAATTATACAGCCCCTCACATTGCCCAGTTTTTAACTTCAGTTCTCAAAATCTTACGGCAGGTGAACCAGTCAATTAGCTACTGACATTGGACTAATTAGGACTCTTCCCTGTCTGGCCTTTAAAATTTGAAACTCAGAAAATACAGAGACTATATACATTTCAAAAGTCTTTCCAGCCCCTCTGGGTACTTTCCAAGACTCATAATCTATAAATTACAAGCAGCTGGCAGGAAAGGTCACTCCTTTACATCGGGTGACACCAAAACCGCAGGGGAATGTCGGGTCAGAAACGGTAAACAAACAGAAGAAAATCCCCACCTAAGTAATTCAAATATTAAAAAGCCCTAAGGCGATGTATTCTTAACTCCAAGGAAGCACTGAACTCCATGTGGGAAAGCAATCACTAAGAAACAAAAATGTAAGACAAAGAAACCCTGAGAAACATAAACTCAAGCAAAGTCGTGCTGAGCGAGTCATCACCTAGAAGATTGGTATAGTGAGTTACCAACTTCAAAAAGCCTCGTGTGAGAGTGAGAAACGCCAAACTAGTGAAGTCAGCAGAGAGTGGTACAGATCGGAGTTACAAACACTCCCAAGGGGGTAATGGGGCTATAGACGGGCAGATTGGGATCTAACATTTCACACTCGCACTTTTTTCTTTTAAACGGAAAGAAACTGGGGAAGTAAGACCAGTAGCTTAAGGAAGAGTCAGTGGGATGAGGTGGCTAGGGAATAAAACAGCTCCTGGTCTGGCCAAGAAGGATAGAACAGCTGGCCAGTGGAAGGCTTACAGTTCAAAGAGCGAGGGGGAACTGGGAGATGACCCGCAAGAGAAAGAAGAATCGAAAGAAGCTCCGACACCCTCCAGGAACCCAGACAGTTGGCCAGGGTCTGCACCACGGGCAGGGCCCCGGAGAACCGGCCATTCGGAGACTACAAACACTAAGCTCCAACCTTCTCCACTCCGCCAGACTCAAGCCGACCCCTGGGCGACACAGGACTGGATAACAGTACAGCTGCACAGGAGTTCCCACAGCAGGGCACGCTCCGGCTCCAGCAGCCACGGCGAGCAGCGCGTATACACCGCGGGAATTACCGGGCAGGGCCCTGTGCGGCCACCGTAGCACTGGACGCCGACGCCTCCGCAGGCCGCGATCCTGCCGGCAGCCTTGTCCCAGGCTCTAAGTACCCGGGCTGCAAGCTCAGAGCTCAGAGTTGTGCATCTGTGAGCGGCAGCCCCGTGTTAGGATCTACAGCTGTCCCCCGCAGCTGTAACTGCTGTATTTAAGCTACCAGCTGCCGCGCACCGCGAGCTTCTGCGGCCTCGGGACTACAAGATCCAGCATGCATAGAGCTCTGGGTCCTTATGACCAAACCTTCTTGGATAAAAATACTCAGATCTCTACACCAAGGCAAATTGTGGTTGGAGGTGCAGATTATATCCTGGTGGAGCATCTAGGGACGTGTGCATTGTTTTCACGTTCAGATTCTTGTCAGGGATTGAAATACAGGACCTGCCTCTTAAGAAATATGGAGAGAAATACCAAATAATGATAAAATGTAATTCTACTAATATGTCGTTTTCAGTAATGCAGACAGTTGGAGCAATACATAAGAAATAAGAGTAGAAACTAGGAGAGGGGGAAAAAAGACAGCCGATAGCTGGACCGCGAGGGAAAAGAAGGGAAGACATACAAACTATGTTGTGATTTTTAACAGTTTCACGATTATAATCCGATAATGTTTGGTTTTAAGACAGACTCTCAGAATTCGGCCAGGCTTGCCCAGAACTTGTGATCTTTTCTCAACCCCCTAGTGCTGAAATAAGAGACCTGTACTGTGACTCTGGGGAAATTATTTTAAATGTTCTTCTCATGAAAACAGCTACCTGGAGTTATTAGATTGATATTCACAGGGACAGTCAAATAATCACTGGAGGGGTGTGGCAAGACAACCAATGGAAGATTTATTAGCTTAGATAACAAAGTATCTGCTCCCTTATCTACTTGGATAGTTTATTTCCTATTTTGAGATGCGGAACACTCTCTGATGACTTAGAGGAGGTAGCATGTCTGTATCTCCGCTATCCCGAGGCCTTTTATAACTTTTGTAAGGACTTGTATGAGGGTTCTCTAAAGGAACAGAACTGATAGAATGAATATATACAGGAAGGGGATTTAGGGGATTTATTAGACTGAATGAAGTCTGGGCAGTCCAACAATGGCAGTCTCATGCTGGAAAGGCAAAGACTCTAGTCGTTGATAAATCCGTGAGGCTGAAGGTCTCAGCAAGCCCAGTCTAGCACTGGAGTCCTGGGAGATTCTTGGAGGGCTGTCTTCATTTGAATCCCAAAGAGGCTGGATTCCGTACTGGCAGCAATAGGACAAATGAATTTGCCAGGGAAAGTGGGGCCAAATGGGCATGAAGCAGTTCTTTTTTCCGTGTCTTTTTATGTAGACTGCCACCAGAAATTGTGATCCAGTCGTACAGTGGGTCTTCCTGCTTCAAATAATCCGATTAAGGAAATTCCTCACTAGAGTGCCCAGCAGTTTTAGTCTGAATTAATTCCAGATGTAGTCAGATTGACCACCAAGATTAGCCATCAATTTGTATTACCAGAATGACTTATTTTAATTTTTCCGAATACTATATTAACAAGCCACTAGAATCAGTGCTTGGGTTTGTATGGTAGCTATGCAGAACAATGATATATCATGTGTATACTGCAAGCATAGGTTTTCTGCAGATTTATAGTAAAACAAACTAATTGGTTAGAAAAGGAAATGAGAATGCCTTTCGTTTTTACAATTCTGCATAGGAGCCACAGAAGGGCTTTATATTCTCCAACACTGGCGTGGAATCAGCTGCCATAGAAACTGCTTCCCAACTCCGGTGTGCTAAATTATGCAGCACAAGCAAGTAAATATTTAAAATCTATGATCACGGAAAACAGTCTGCTGCTTTTCATACCCATGCACCGAACGGGGACTGCAGTGGGAGAGAACGTTTCCAGCAGTGATCTGAGGGGAAGGTTGATGAACTATGGTTGGGAGACGTGGGATTCATTGGTGTTTGTAGGAAATAAACACTAAGTTGCTCCCACTTCAGAGTGATGTTAAGGGAGCTTTGTAAATACGCGGCATTTCTGGAAGACACATTTCTAAAGCAGTTTCCATGATCCGTTGTGTAAATGAACACGGCGCAGAGGTTTAAAAGGGCATAATTTATGTAACAGACTGCTTTTTAGAGGTTCCTAGGACTGCAGCGTTCAACAGAAGTCTCCTGCAAATGTCTTTATCTAATTCATCCAGTTGCCATATACACAAGAGTTAAAACTGGACAGACTGTTGGTTTCAGTTCAGCAGATTAGGGACAAAGCACCACTAACTGTTCCTGAAGCAGGGGTAGTTTTGGTAACTAGGAGAAACTTCAAGGGGAAAGGACAAAGATGAGCACTTCATATTTTAGAAAGTTAAACAAAAAGTGTATATAACGTTGACCAAATAATCACTCAAACATTTGTTAAATTGTAACTCATTGTTAGCTGATCTCCCTTCGAAAAGGCAAAGATGCCTTTCAAACATCTCTGGCTAGCTAGACTAGTCATACTGGAAAGCTCTGGGGTTGGTGAAAGACCCTGCCTAAATAAATAAAATGGAGAGCGGATGAGAAGACTCTAAATGTCAAATTCAGGCCTCCACACGTGTGGTCATGTGGGCACACATGGGCAGGTACATTCTCTCTCTCTCTCTCTCTCTCTCTCTCTCTCTCTCTCTCTCTCTCTCTCTCTCTCATGCATACGCATATGGTATATTCAAGAAAAGAAAGAATAGAAGAACCAGACCTCAATATAATAGTTTACATGCAACAAATGTATCGCCCACAGAATATCAACTAGGAAAAAGCTAAGTGTTTCTTCTAAAATGAGGAATGAGATAAGGGTGCTCACGCTCTCAAATCTTATCAACCCAGGACTTTAATTCTCTGCCAGACTAATAAGGCAAGAGAGAGAAAGGAAAGGGCTACAAATGAGAAAGTAAGAACACAAGCTATTCCTACTTGTAGACAGTGTGATCATATATCTAAAACCCTAAAGACTCTATCTGCAAGTGCCTAGGTCTAGTAATGGCTTTCAATAAGGCAGAAGGGTACAAAGTTGACGTGCAGAAATAAATTGCTGTTTTCTACAGCAGGAGGCATGCTAAGGAAGGAACCAGGAAAACACATTCACAATAGCTCTCAGGGAACAAAATGAAATACTCAGGAATAAAAATGCATCAGCTTAGGACTAGTCCATAACTTGTCCTCTGACCTCCATGTGTGTCCCCTGGCATGCACACAGACAGACATATATACCTCAAAATAATAAATAAGATCTAACAAAAAAAGTTAAATACTTCTACAGTGAAAACTTTAGAATACTGAAGAAAGAAGTTGAAGAAGACATTAGAAAGTGAAAGTGCCACCCATATTCATGGGCAGATAGAAAATTGTGAATAAACCCATATGACCAAAAGCAATCTACAGATTCAGTATGCTCCGATTCAATGTCTCATTGATATTCTTTGCAACACTGGAAACAAATCTTAAAATTAACATAGAAGTGCAAAGACCCCAAGTAAACAAAACAATCCTAAGGAAAAACATGCATTGCTAGAGAGACATCATGATACTAAATTTCAAATTATATCATAGAGCCACAGGAACAAAAGCAGCAGGATATTGGCATAAAAGCAGGTGCAGAGACCAGCAGAATAGGAGACACACAAATAAAGCCATGTAGCTAGAAATGGGACTCCAGTAGTTCAGGAAGTAATAGTAAAAGCATGACAGTGAAGTATGTGGCTTGTTCTTCAGGGCCACCAGCCAGCTCCCAAACCATGACATAAAGACTTACTAGTTTTAAATGCTTGGTCTTAGCTCACTTCTGACTAGCTCTTTTAACTTTTAACCTGTTTCTCTTTATCTACTATTATAGAATATTCTGATATACTGAGTGAATATATGTCTCTGTGGTTCGTTAATAAAAAACTAAATAGTCAATAGCTAAGTAGAATTTTCAGGGCAGAGAGAACATTGGGAAGAAGAAGGGCAGAGATGCCAGAAGTTACCAGCAGACAAGAAGAAACAAGACATGCAGAAAAGGTAACAAGCCATGAACCACGGGGCAGCACATAAATTACCAGAAATGGGTGAATTTAAGTTATAAGAGCTAGTTAGGAACAAGCCTAAGTTATCAGCAGAGCTTTCATAATTAATATTAAGCCTCTGTGTAGATTTTTGAGCTGACGGCTGAAAGAAAAATCCATCAATAAATGGTGCCCAACATGGGGCACATATTTCCATTTAAGATCTGAGAAAGCTTTTTAAAAAGTTTCAAACACACAAAAAATGGAGCCAAGCATGGTCATGGTACAGAGAGACATTTGCTGGCCGCTGCCTGCGGGCTTGAGCTGCCAGCATGAGCCCTGTCAGCACAACATGAGCTGAGCAATACATTGGTTTAAGATTTTGCTCATGCAGACAGAAAAGACTACAGATATGTAGCAAAGCAGATTCAAACAAGAAAAAAAAAACTCTAAACACATTACAGTGTATTTGAAAATGTGTGTAATCTTAAGAAAAAAAGAAAAAGGATATAGACGGTAATAGAAAAAATGGATAGTTTAAAAATAATAAAGTGAAGTCTTTGAAGAGAGAAGTACAGTGATATAAAAATAAGTCATATAGAGATGAAAATGCACAGGGGGTATGGATCCTTTATGGCGTTGCATTGACTTTAAAATTTTTAATTGCTGATGAGCAAACAATATCTGCTAAGAGACATCATATTATGAAAATTACTAAATTAAACCAACCTGTATATTTTTAAATGTCTTAACTTCAAAATGAAAGTCAAAAAAATATTATGTTGGAGAAAAGGTTATGCTTTTTTTCCCACAGAAAACAAAAGGCTGTGAATTTGTTCAAGGTTAAAGAGGATCAAGTTTGATTGGGGGAGACCCCCTGAAAATGCTGACTACAGACATAAAGAATAAACCTAAAAGAAAGACAAGACAGGTGGCATATATTTTACCTGTTCAAACATAAAATTAAAAAAAAAGATCATCTTTGGCTGGTTTGTGTACAATACATAGTCCATACGTGTGTTACTGCAGATATGTATGTTAACTTTGAAAGTTTATGTTTTCAGAGCAATGGGACCAGGCACCAAAGAAAATGGGTAGCCCAGGTGATCCAGCCTCTCATAGTGCCTCAGCTGCAGCTTCCTCAGAGTTCTGCATCCAGAACAGCTTCAAGGCTGCTGAGATGGTCCAGCCTCGTAGACTA